GAGGAGAGGGTGCCCAGCGTGAGGATACTGCACTGGGGCCTCTGCTAGGACCTCACCTCTCAGGGCTAAAGGAGAGGGAGGCGGCTGCCAGGCTGGAGGTAGTTGGGGACCCCAACCCTAAGGCTGGAGTGGACCTTGGCCAGCATAAGGCAAGCGAGGAGGGCACCGAGCCAGGAGGGAGGGAAGGTCATTGTGAAGACTGTGGAGTCCCCGAGGACTGTGGCAGCATGGCTGGGAGAGTGGCGGGAGCCAGGAGTAGTATCTAGGAAAGGGCAGCATGGCGCAGGGTCAGCACTGGGCCCCTTCCACACAGGTCTTGTCAGGAAGTGGCAATGGGGGGGAGCCTGCCTGCTCCAGGCGCCACAGCCCAGCGAGAGTGGGGAAGCTGCACCGTGGAGAGAAGGCTCTGCCGGGCTCCGAGCCCCCCGCAGCGTGACAACAGCAGTCCCCAGGCTGTGCCCACCCTGAGTACTCCGTGTCATGAAGCAGTGATTCCATAGGCTGCTCTGTTTTGAGTACAAGGACTGAGGCGCATGACTCCACACCTTGTTTCTACAAGTAAACAGCCACCATCTGCCTGGCACAGCCATAAGGCTCAAAATAATAAATAAATGAATTAATTGCTTATGAGAATGACCCCTGTGAACTTATCAAATCGATCAGAAGCACAGGGGTGCAAGGGTGTATCAAACATCGGAAAAACCAGGCCCATGAGCTTATCGAACACCCCAGAGCACCAAATGACATAATGCCCTCACCTGAGGCCCATAAAAGGAGGGGCACCCCAAGATTGGACATGACAGCACCCTGCCCATGTCACCTGGTCACTTTTCAGGAGCCTTGCCCAGGAAAATCACCACAGCAAGGACCTTCCAGATACCTGTGCTCCAGGGTTAGCATAGTGTGGTTCCTCCAGCCTGTGATGCCCACACACGACCCCTCCAAGCTGAACAACCAAAGTTGACATCCAAGTGGACACTGTGAAGCTGCCTCTGTCAGAACCTTGGCCTAGAATAAGTGCCTACACTCTGACAGCTCCAAATAGCCAGGAACGATCTATTTGGCTGGTTCATGATCTTATCTGACCACTACAGATTCTTACAGCATCTTATCTGCTGTCTGCTGGAACAGGAAGTAGGGAGGAGGGAAAGATCGCTGACCCTGGGTCCAGGATTCAGTCCATCCCCAATGTCCCAGTCATAATGCTACATCATCAATGACTCCCAAATACTGCCTTTTTCTGTGGGTTGATACTGGAATGGGCATGCAGGGCCTCTGCTTTGCCAGGTGTGGGTCCGGGCTCAGTACGTGTGAGCTGGCCACTCACAGCTACAGCTGGGACCATCTGGTGTCCTGTGGAGGTGCATGTACAGGGCTGGTGTTGGCTGTCAGCTAGGCCTTTATGATACCGTGAAGTACATATTTGATCTCTGTCTCCTTGCACACCAGTTGAAAAATACCTGTAACTTCAAAATAATGTGTCTTGGGCTGGGGCTGGGGCTCAGTGTTAGAGCACTTGCCAAGCATGTGTGAAAGACTGGGTCTGAGTCTCCGCACCGCATATAAATAAATGAATAAAGTAAGGCTGGCGATGTGGCTCAATCCGTAGCGGGCTCGCCTGGCATGCGTGCGGCCCGGGTTCGATCCTCAGCACCACATACAAACAAAGATGTTGTGTCCACCGAAAACTAAAAATAAATAAATAAATATTTTAAAAAATGAATAAAGTAAAGGTCCATCAACAACAACAAAAATTTTTTTAAAGAGTGATGTGTCTTTGTATATCAAGTGCTGGCTAGTAACCCCCTGGGTAACTTCAGCAGGGGGCCCTGAGGAGCAGATGAAAGTCCGGTTGATCACCAGTGACCATTGATCTAATCCATTATGCTTACATGAGAAGCCTACATTAAAACCCAAAGAACAGCCAGGCATGGTGGCCCACACCTGTAATCCCAGTGACTCAGAGGCTGAGGCAGAAGGATTGCATGCTCAAAGCCAGCTTCAGCAAGTTAGCAAGGCCCTAGTAACTTAGGTCCCCTCTCCCTGAAAACAAAGGGTCTGGGGATGTGGCTCAGTGGTTAAGTGCCCCTGGGTTCAATCCCTGGTAACCAACCAACCAAACCAAACCAAACAAGCCCCCAGGGACAGGATTCCCAGAGCTTCCAGATGAACACTTAGAGGTTCCTGAGGACAGTCCCCGGGGAGAGCATGGAAGATCTAGGACCCTTCTCCACCCTCTTCCCCTGTGTCTCTTCATCTGCGTGGCTTAGAGTACACTTTATGATAAACCAGTGAATGTGATTCCCTGCCTTCTGTGATCCACGGGCACAAATTGACTGAACCAAGGAGGGGGTGGTGGGAACCCTGAGTTTTTGCCGGTGGTCAGAAGCATAGGTAAGACCCCTGGAGCTGGTGGCTGACATCCAATATGGGGCCAAATCCTTAATCCATGCATGGGGTCTGATGAGATCTCCAGGCAAACAGTGTCATCTGAGTTTGAGGACACCGGCTGCTCCATTGTTGAATAAGAGAGTAGGACACACTGATTTTTTGTTGTTGTTGTATCATCAGACCCTGGCAGGGTGCCAGCTGCAACACACACAGGCCAGGGAAGCCTTCCTCATAGCATGGGGCCAGGTCTCAACAGCAAATGTCCCAAGGCAGCAAGGTGGGTGTGTACAGCACCTTTAAAATTAAGCCTTAGGGGCTGGGGTTGTGGCTCAGTGGTAGAGTGCTTGCCTAGCATGTGTGAGGCACTGGGTTTGATTCTCAGCACTCTATATAAACAAATAAAATAAGGAACTAAACATCAACAACTAAAAAAAATATATTAAAAAAAAAAAAAAACCCTCAGCCTTAGAAGTCATTGCCAGGCCCCTGTCCTCACCGGGACACATCACAAGGTTATGGAGCAAGAGGTCAGTGCCCCTTTTGGAAAACCCAGTCTGCCACACAAGGGAATCACCACCATGACCCTGTGCAGCCCAGGACCCTCCCTTCCTACTCATAGTGGAGGCCCAACGCCCCCAGGAAGATCCTTTAGAGGCCAAGTTCATATTCAAGAGGCAATGAAGGGACAGTAGAGGGACAAGGGAAGAGTCTCAGAGAGATGCAGCTGGACAGCAGGCACAGCCTGTGACAAAGCTGGTGCTCATGCACTCTTGCTGGGGACTGTTTGCACAGGCCCCTCAGTCCTCGGGGGGCTTTCCTTCAGCAGGAGGGGGCACTCAGGCAGAGCAGAGGTGAGAACAGGCAGTGTCCTCTCTGTTCAGCTGGGTGGCCAGACCTGGGGAAGGAACAGGGCTGCGGCTGGTGAGAACCTAGCGCTCACTGTGTGCTGGGCACCCTCAATGTGTTTTGGGGATAAGATCTCATTTGTCTTTCCCAAGGACTCTAGGGTAAAAAGAGAAACCAAAGGTTCAAAGGGGAGAGTAGGGAACACAGAGAAACCAGGGAGAACCTTGCTCTCAGGCTTCTGCTCCACTCTGGGTCCCTTGTATGCCTGATTTCTTTCTTCCCAAGGTGAGGCCCAGAACACAGGGACAGGCTCAGGCCCTCAGAGGAAATTCCCCGCAGGAGAAGGGGATACTGTGGACACTGGGGGTACTTTCCAGATTGACAGCCAAGCAGAGGGTGCACCCCATGTAGACTTCAGGGGTTATAGGCAGACTCTCCCCCCACCCCACCTCAGTGCCCCATGAGAACAGGAGGACTATCTGCTCCCTGCTGGGATTCCAGAGGGCTTCCCCAAGGTGAAGCCAGGGGCTATGCTTCCTCTAGACTAGGGCCAGACTAGGGTTGACCTCAGAGGGGCAGCTTCAGATGGGGCCCCAAGGACTGGCTCTCCAGACCTCTCCCTGGGCCAGAAGCCCCCAGGACCCTGCTGGCCCTACCTAACACTTCCAGTCTTCTCTTGGCCCCCGTGACCCCTAGGATTCTGGGGATGCCAATCCCTCCACCTGGACCTTGCAGAGCTTCCTTCCCGCGAAGAATCCATCCTGTAGGCTTCAGGACCACCCAGAGGAAGGAGAGGCTTCTCTACCACAGCCTACCCCTCACTTTCTGTCTCTCCAAAAGTGTGTTTGCTTTTTGTTGGTGTGTGGTAGGCCTCCTCCACTGGACTGGGAGCACCAGGAGGGTCTCCAGCCCTCGGGGCTCCAGGACCTCAGGAAACCTCCACCATGGATGCAGGACGTCTGTCAGGCCATGTATGCTGGGGACCCTGAGTGCTAAACAGAAAAGCAGTGCCCATGGTGTGATTCAAAATGAAAACAACAGCAAGCAACAGACAGAAACTTTTTAACAATTGCCCTCAGAAGAAAGGCACATCACCATTACATCCTTCTACCTGGCTTGTGTCATCACCCTGTGACACTGCCAGTCTGCCCACATCAGATTGCCCTATGGTGTCACCCAATGCCACCAACTGCCTGCCGAGCTCAGCCAGTCACCTCTCTCCAGCCCAGTGGCTGGCGTTGGTTCACGTGCCTAGAGGCCCAAGCCTGCACTGCATGCTGCACACGTGCAGCCTGAACAAATTTGGAGACTGAGGAGTTGTGGAGGTCGGGCTCCCCACTCCTAGAGGGGCTTGTGAAATTTCCTTTCAGACGTACTGCACCGCCGCGACGGACCGCATCCCCCGTGCGCTCCGGCTTCCACGCGGCGGGTAGGTGAGCCTACAGCCCGAGCACCCCTCCTGGCTCGCGCCGGGAACCTGCCAGAGCGGGGCGCCGCGGTCCCACTGTCCGGGCTGGCGGAGCAGGCGCGGCAGCGAGTGAGGGACAGCTGGGGAGGCGGGGTCGCACGCCCGCGGAGCTGAGCTGGAGAGGCGCTTTGCCCATTGGCCGACGCTAGTGTGGGAAAGGACGCCTGGCCGGGTTCACAGGCCCCGCGGCGGTGCGGCCTTATATAGCCGGCCACTGTCCCGGTTCGCGGGCTTTTGGCCGGAACCCGCCAGAGGGCGCAAACCTTCTGCCCGGCACCAGAGCGCGGGGTGCAGGATGCCGGCTGACACCCCAGAGAAGCCGAGCGCCTCGCCGTTGGCAGGAGCGCAGGCCAGCGCCAGCCCGACCCCAGATAAACCCCGCAGCGCGGCAGAGCACCGTAAGGTGGGTTCCCGCCAGGCGTGGGGGGGTTCGGTTGGGGGCGGGGCGGCCGAACGCGGGACTCAGCCGCTGCCCGACCCGCAGTCCTCGAAGCCCATCATGGAGAAGCGGCGCCGAGCGCGCATCAACCAGAGCCTTGCTCAGCTCAAGACCCTCCTCCTGGACGCGGTCAGGAAGGATGTAAGTCGGGGCCGAGAAGGGGGAATCCAAGGACTGAGGCTAGCGGAATGGGACGTGGCTGAGTTACAGACCACCACCCTGTCCCTGCCCCCAGAGCTCCCGCCATTCGAAGCTGGAGAAGGCCGACATCCTGGAGATGACGGTGACACATCTGCAAAACCTGCGTCGCTTTCAGGTGACAGGTGAGGCGCGGGTGGCAGCGGCTAGGGGCGGGAGGCGCACAGGGCCACCGCCCTGGACACGACAGCTGGCCTCTGCCGCTCCCGCAGCCGCACTCAGCTCGGACCCCGCTGTCCTGGGCAAGTACCGTGCAGGCTTCAACGAGTGCCTGGCCGAGGTGACCCGCTTCCTGGCTGGCTGCGAGGGTGTCCCGGCCGAAGTTCGCTCCCGCTTACTCGGCCACCTGGCAGCCTGCCTGCTCCAGCTGGGGTCTTCGCGCCGCTCGGCCTCGCTGCCCGCCGCTGCAGACGAACCGGAGTCCGAGGTCTACGCTGGCCGCCCGCTGCGGCGCTCCTTAGACGGCCCCTTTCCCCTGCTGCGCCCAGGGGCCGCGTTCGCGCCGCTCCTGCCACCCAGGCTGACCCTGGCGCCTCCCGCCGCCCCCAGGATGGGATCTCAAGGCCGGAGCGGACCCTGGAGGCCGTGGCTACACTGAACTGCAGCGGGTCCTAGGGCCGCGGCCTTGGCCAAGACTGTAGCAGAGAGTATTTATTTCCAGAGGCTTGGGGTGGTTTTGCTGTCTTTGTGAACAGCCTGGTTCAGGCCCGCAGAGCGTCCAAGTTGGTGGTCCTCGGGCGGCCCGGCAGCCGGCTCCGGGCAGAGGCGCCGGTTGGTGCCTCTTTTCCGAGGCCCCGCCTGTTCGCAGACCCAGCCGTCTCGCAGACTGGGTCCTCTTCCGGCCCGCCCCGCAGCCGGGGCCTGCTATCGGGCCGCCCCTGCCTCTGGAGCCTTGGGATTGCTTTGGTCCGCGGTAGGGCGGGCGACCCGCTCGGCGACGCTGGGGTGGGAATGGGAAGCGTGCCCACGGGGCGCAGGCAGGAAGGCTTCCCGGAATGTATCTCAGTACTGGAAGGCGGTCGCACGGCATCTCTAAGGGTACTTATCCCAACTTCTCCCCGGACCCTGGGAGGTAGAGATCCGCCTTTTCATGCCATTGTTTCCCCGGGAGTTGTCCTTCGCTGGGGTGAGGACTGTCTTCTTCCTTTGAAGCTCAAGGTTCAGCACAAAGCCGCCCCGTGCACCCAGGCCGACCCCCAGGCCTGCACTGGTAGGGGTCCCAGCAGGGAAGGGTGTCTGGGAGAGGCTCGCAGATGGTAATCTGGACTCAGGAGACATTCCTGCCATGAATCCTGAGCACCTGCCTTTGGATGCAACTAAGGTCACCGAGCAGAAGTGCCAGGCCACCCTGGCACGCACCCGGTGCGCCCTGCAGCCACAGTCCTGCTACCCTCCAGAGCGGCTGCTGGAGGGAGGCTGTGGTCCACGTGCTTGAGGGAGTGGTCCGGGCCACAAGCTCAGACCGCAGGGAGGCTTCCAGAGCCCTGTGCAAGGTGTACTCAGACCCGCTTCTCAGCGGCCGAATTCATCAGACACCTTCCTGCACCTGCCTGGATGGGCCATCAGGGAGGTGAGTCCCTCTACCACAGGCTTATCTCGCCTCTCCCCACGGGTTCGCCTGTGGGCAGGACCACGGAACCTGGCAGAACCCTCCAAGTCTCTACCAAGACAGTCACCCTGCTCTCTGCCTCCCTGGGCTCCCGGGGGCTGGGCCAGTGCCCCTGAACAGCAGGTCACCATGTGGGCCAGCTGCTGTACCCTTGGGTGTACGTACATGCAGGGACTCTGCTCCCTTTAGATCTGGGTGGAAGGAGAAGGTGGAGGCTGCCCTTGGCAGGAGGGCTGCAGGGATCTGCAGAGGGTGACTGGAGGAGGGGAGATGTTCAGGGAGGGTAGGGCCCCTGCTGGGAATTGAGACTGGTGTGTAGGTAGGGGAGGCCACTTGCTCAGAGTTGGGTTCCAGACACACTGCAGGGAAAGGGGGACTCTCTGCCTGGGTGGCCAAAAAGAGGAGGCCAACCAGGATGCCACCTGTGAGGTTGGGCTTCAGATGCCCCCTCTCCCCAGAAGCAGCAGCATCATCCACCCCTGCCCCTTACTTCTTGATTCCTGGATCTGTTATGGGCCCTGTTGCCAAAGGAATCTCTGTGGTGGGGACCACTTAGCCCTCGGGGACTACTCTGGCTCCACAGGACCCTTACACTCAGATGGGCAGACCCTCCTGATGTCTATTCCTTGAACTCAGTCCCCTCCCCAACTTTCTCCCCACTCTCTATGTACCTCAGACCACTCCCCTGCTGCAGGCTTCTCCAGCTGTCTGGGTCCAGGGGGACTGTTCTCCCGCCAGCCACACCTGTGTCCTTTCAAACTTAGCACCTGCTTAAAACAGTGGGCTCAACCTCAGCCCATGCTGAGCTAATCAATTGGTGTAAACAGTGTGCAGAATGGGAGTTGGGGTCTCTCTTGAGTCAATAGGGAGGTCCTAGGAAGCATAGCCTGGGCTGAAGCTGGGTCCCCAGCAGGGGACACTAAAGGGGTGGTTCTGGGTCTCCCAGGCTGCCCCCTTCTTGGCAACTGAGAGTGGCTGGGGCTGAGGAGCAGTGAGTCCCCTACTTCTGAGTCTCAGCCTTTCTACACACTAGCCAGGACACTGCTTGACCCTGTTTCCTACCACCACTGTGTGGGCTGAGGCAATATAGACCCTCATCAGGTGCTTTTCTGCAGGGCTGCCCTCATAGTGGGAGCAGCGCCCCCAAGAGTGGGTGTTCCCACTCTCAGGGGGCCTCTTCCTGTCCTCCCTACCCTTCTATATATTTCCTGTTTCTGAAGAGACCCTTGGGTCTTTCCTTGTCCCTCCCCCTCCCCCAGCTGTTCATGTCTTTGCGCTTGTCTTGCAGAGGCTTCCTGCTGAATAACAGATGGAGTCCCTTTTCTGGGTGGAGGGGCACTGGTCATGGCCCTCCCAGTTCATCTCCAACAGCCCCCCTTCCAACCCCGTGCCTGGACTGGACCAAGGGTCAATAAGTGCTCGATTCATGTGCACTGTCGGCAGGCTACCTGCCTGTGTGGTGGGTCTAACTGGGTCCTCTCCTGTGGCTTGGGGACTGAACAATGACAACAGATTATAGGTATTTGAAATCTGGAGAAGAACTTATCCCTATGGTGTCAAAAGTTAGTGGCCAGGCCCATTAAACTCCATGCACTGGAAAATTGGGGCAGGGTCCGGGCTGGGGCTGCTTGGATTCCTGGCTTATGAGAGGTGAGGCCCACTGTTCCCCCGCCCCCTCCTCCCCTCACCTAGCATCCCTGCTCCAAGGCTGTCTGTTTCCTACAGTCCTACCTGTGCCTGGATGCTCTCCCTCTGCTCCCTGGAACCCCTGGGCTACATCAAGGAAACTGGGGCCCTGGCCTGGCAGCCTCCTGGGCACCTCCAATAGTCTCCTCCATGGGCCACATCCCCTTGCACCAAGGTTGGCCTATGCGACAGTGGGGCCCTGGAGAGGGGACGGGCTGTCATTCCAGGCAAGGCTGCAGGCTCCTTCCTGTCTGCTCTGGGGAAGCCAGCTGCCCTTTCCATGGAGAGAGCAACATAATAGATGAATGATAGATGAAGTCTCCTCTTCTTGGTGGAGGGGCACTGGGCAGCAGTGGCCTCCTGCCAATAGCAATGACAGTGAGTTTAGACATGGATCCCTTGATAGGACCTTGACCGTGACAAGCCCTGTGCCAGCACCTCAACATGAACTCCTGTGCACAGAAGCTGTGAGACCATAGCATTTGTTGCTTTGAGCTGCTAATTTTTTAAATATTTATTTTTTTAGTGTAGTTGGGCCTTTATTTTATTTATTTATTTTTATGTGGTGCTGAGGATGGAACCCAGGGCCTCACACGTGCTGGGCGAGTGCTCTACCACTGAGCCACAACCCCAGCCCCAAGCTGCTAAATTTTTGTTATGCAGCAATAAGTAACAATCTTGATAAATTCTATGTAATTTACTGAATACATGCAAGTAGCATTAGCAGTACAGACCCCAGGGGTTAGAAAACGTGCCCAAGGGATTCCAGAGGCCATGGGAGTGAGGAAGAGGTTGCTGGGAGTGAAGTAGGAGCAGCCACTGTGGCCACTGTGATGTGCAGAACTCAGGTGGTGCTACCGCCTACTCTCACCTGGCACAGATTCCCCAAGTGCCTGAACAGCCTGGCGCCCTGGTGGCCTGGCCCCTGCCAGCATTGGTGGTCCTGTCTGGCTGTAACCGAAGGGGCACCCTGGATCAGGGCAGGCGAGGACTCACAGTCCCCAGGGGAATGTGAACCTATGACTTGTGTGCACAGGTATCAGTTGCTGTGATTACTGTGCCTACTACCCTAGGCAGACAACCTCTCAGGTGGTCCCGCCACCCTTCTGCACAGACACACTTGACCACACTGTCTTGCCCAAGTGGGATATGGGGGCCACAGTGACAGAAGCATTAAAACAAATGTCCAGGGCTGGGGTGTGGCTCAGTGGTAGAGCACCTGCCTGGTATGTGTGATGCCCTGAGTTCGATCCTCAGCATTGCATACAAATAAAAAAATAAATAAAAGATCCATTGACAACAATAAAAAATATATTTAAAAAAAACCCACCTCCATGGTCACCTCAGAGATGTTGCTGACATCCTGCCTGGTCTCAGCACCCACCTGGTGGCTTCAGGCTCACCTGCCTGGCCCTACTGTGAGTAAAGGGCCTGAGGCATGTGTGGATGGGTAGGAGAAGGTCAGGGTAGGACACTCCCAGGAAGAGGGTGCACCTCGATGTCAAGGGCCTCCTATTGCCACAGGGGATCTTGCCTTTAGCTGGCAAAGCTTCCCCTGCTCCAACAGTCCTCACCTGGGTCATCCCCACAGCCCAATGCCATGTCTACATGAGGGCAAATGTTTACCGATTGTTCATGACAGATGCAGGATAAATGAGGGATGGAAGTTTGCAGCAGGAAGCACGGGCCGAACAGGAAACAGACTGAGGGGTACTTGTCCAGACAGACAACTTAGTAGTGGGGCAAAGAAGATTCGAGATGCCCATGTGGTATCCTGTATGTGTGTGTGTGTGTAAATGCAGAGAAAAAATTCTAATTAAATGCCTACATCTTTGCTAGTCCCACCAGGAACAAAGGAAAGGTAGTGCTGTTCAATACAGAGAATATCTAACAATATTTGGTTTTGAAAATAGGCACATGGGATACACACAGATATATACATTAGATATATGTTTTGCTCAACAAACTCTAATATCTAACAGATTGCTGGGCACATAGCAAGAAAAATTCCAAAGAATACATAGCATATAGTAAGAATAAATGATGCTTAAATCTTTAGTGTTATGAATTCTTTCTTTTACTTGCTTATACACCTGAAGGTCAGGAGTTCAGATCCATGCCCATGACTATAAAAAAGGTCACCACATTTTGCTTCTCATCACAGGCAGGTCACATCCCTGAAGAGAGTCACTCTTCTTCCTCAGGGTAGCTGATCTCTTCATGTACCACGAGATACTTCCTTTCCCGCCACCTGTGGCTCCAGATATTCACATTCTTCTTCCTGGGTCCTGACACCTTCTCAC